CCTAAGAAGAGGTGTTTCATGAGCTCCAACCCTAGGGGCTGAAAGTTCTACAGTGTCCCAGACCAGTGGGTTTACTCGATGCTGGGAGGTCCAGAGGCACCTAGGGGACGGCTTTTATGACTGCTCTAAAGCCTTGCTGGAATGACCACGCCCACTTCAACAGAGCTCCAGAAAGGGGCACTTTGGGGCTGCAGTAGGGTATCTGCAAGTCCTTTTCCAGAAGCAGGTGACATATAAAAGGAGAGGGACCACATCCATCTTGTTGACTATTGCATCCCCACCACAAGCACAGAGCAGACAAGACACAATTGTGGAACGATTTTGAATGACCATTTCTTAAATTCTCTGAACATGATTTCTTGAAAAAAAAAAAAAAGAGGGTATAGAGGCAGATTTGGAAAGTGGAAAATCAAATTTAATACCAATTCTACCATTTTGTTGCCGGCAGGAGAAATATATTCCTTATCCTGGTCTAAGAGGCCACGTTGCCTGTCCCCACCTGCTCTTACACATCCTGTGGTCTTCCTGCCATCCCCACCCTGAGCTTCCAAAGTGTTTCTCTCCGCCCTTTACCCCTTTAACCCCATGATTTCTTCATCTCTTTTTTCAATCATCAGTCCTCAGGGAAGCTGTCCTAACCCTCTGCCAAGGCCCAATCCCCATTACACTTCCAAGATTACACACCTTCCTCGGTAGCACTCAACAGTGGCCTTACATTTATTTCTCTGGTCATTTTAACATTGCCTGTCATCCTTATTTAACAGTAAGTTCCCATGAGGGCAAAGACTGGGGGAATCATCCATAGTATCTGGTGTATAATAGTTTCTCAGGAAGCATTTGATGAATGAGTGAATGGATAGAATGAACTAGGAGTGGAGGGTTTTATAACCTGGGGTCTATGGAAGAGCTTCCAAATCCAAAAGCCCCTGAAATCACCTGCAGTGGTGTAAGATTTCTAAGTGGAGGCTATAGCTTTTGACAGATTAGGAATCCGAGTTTTACATGAATACGCTAGTTATGCACAAGAAGGAGGAGAAAAAGAAAAAAGGATGGGAATGAAAAATATGAAAGGATAAAGGGAGAACTTTATAAAACAGGAGTAGAACCAAGAGGAGAGAGAGGAGACATAAAAGGAGGTGATGGAGTGGATCAGGTATTCCTGAACAAATTCTCTGAACTTAGCCTTACTCTGTGTGCGACCCAGTGTTATGCACCATCAGGGATCTGATGAGTAGTTGCCCCTGATTGTCACTGTCACATCTAAAAAGAGAATATCCTAGCTAATTACAGTTTAGGGTAAGTAGAATGAAGTATTCCCAAAGAGCCATTTTCTTGTACAATGGAAGAGAGATTATAGGGAGCAATAGAAGGAAGGATGATTACAGAGGGCTTCCTGGAGGAGGGTCACATGTCCATCTGCCCCCAACACTTGAGCAGGATATCAAGGAGGAAGGGAGAGAAGGAGGTAAGCCTCAGATGAGGGAAGAGTATAAATAATGCCACTGGTCCAGGAAAACAAGGTGTGTGTCAGGTCGGTGGACTCAATGGCTTTGTGGAATATCTCAGCTGGGAGTTGCCCTCTTGGGCCAATCCTGGACAAGTGATAACTACAAGGAGCCAGTAAAATGATCCTAGAGGCTAGAACAGACTCCAGAAGGAGCAACCTAGGTCCAAAGAAGGCTGAGGATGGGTAATCACACAGCCTCCCTAAGACTTCTGGCAAATATAAACTCATCCTGTCTGTACATGCTCCTCCCTCTTCACCTCCGGCCCTCCTGAAGTGGGTCAGCTCTCGCCCAGTAGAGGTTGAGCTCATGCGGCCTGGTGAGCACCCATGTCTAGGTTCTGTTCTGCTTTGTTAATCTAACATTCCTGGGCTTATGAACTCACAAAAAATACGCAAATGGTGTGAGTTTGAAATCCATGTGTGTCACTGATTCCCCTTTGCCCAGGTCGGAAGTTACAGAAAAGATTTCCATTTAGCAAAGAAAGCTTTTGCAAGGTGACAACACCTCAGGTCATTTGCTGGTGTGGGGACACTTGTGCTTTCTACTGCTCTTACTGAATATGCAGCTGGCCCTGCAGATTTCAGAGCCTCTGTGTCTCCACTTGATAAAAGAGCTCCATCTCAGTGGTCTTTCCTGGAATTAGGTGTCCCAAGCAGTTTGGCACATGGTGCTATGGCCCTAGTACAGATGGTAACATAGACCTGGGACAGAGGGGACAGCAAGGTCCAGGAGGAGGACAGAGTATCTCACCTTTTTGCCTCCAGAGACACTTCAGTGAACACTTCTTGGGAAAGCTGACTGCTCTTAGCAATGACGCCCATCACCCCCAGAGAGGGCTGTGCTCATGACCTTCCAAGAGCACTCACTGTGGGGCCAGCACTAGAGGTCAGTAAGGGATTTGGGTAGATTTAAGACAGACTCAGAGCCAGGCACAGTGACAAACACTGATAATCCTGCTACTCAAGAGTCTGAGGCAGGAGGATCGAAAGTTCGAGGCCAGCCTGGGCAACATAATAAGACCCTGTCTCAAAACAAAATGAAAAGGTCTGGGGATGTAGCTCAGAGGTAGAACACCCTGGGTTCAATCCCCAGTACTGAGAGAGAGAGAGAGAGA